GGTCATCTAGTCCAACCCCCTCGTCAGGCAGGAAACCCTACACCATTTCGGACAAATGACTGCCCAGTCTCTTCTTAAAGACTTCCAGTGTTGGAGCATTCACCGCTTCTGGAGGCAGGCTGTTCCACTGGTTAATTGTTCTCACTGTCAGGGAATTTCTCCTTAGTTCTAGGTTGCTTCTCTCCTTGGTTAGTTTCCACCCGTTGCTTCTTCTCCTGCCTTGTGTTGCTTTGGAGAATAGCTTGTTTCCCCCCCCCCCCCTTTATGGCAGCCCCTGAGATACTGGAATGCCGTCATGTATCCCGTAGTTGACCATTATCTGCTTGCTAGGGCTGACTGGCCCAAGGATATCCAGTTGGTGTTATGTCTAGGGGAGTATTAGAACTCCAAGGCATCTGGTTTCTAGCCAGGTGCCTTAAGCACTGCTTCTAAGGAAGGGAAGGGAAGGGAAGGGAAGGGAAGGGAAGGGAAGGGAAAGGAAGGAGAGGCCAGGAGGAAGGAAAAGAAAAGAAGGGAGGGAGGAAGAACGGAGAGAGGAAGGAAAGAAGGAAGGAATAAGCCGGGGAGGGAGGGAGGGACAGGAAGAAAGGAAAGATGGAAAGGAAAAGGAAAATAAATGGAAGGAAAGGGAGGGAGGGAAAAGGAAGGAGAGGCAGGGAAGAAGGAAGGAAGGAAAAGGAAGAAGAGGCAGGGAGGAAGTGAGAAAGAAAAAAAGGGAGGGAGGGAGGGAACAAAACGGGACAGGAAGGAATGAGGAAGGAAAAGAAAGAAGGAAGGAGAGGAAGAAAAGAGGCAGGGAGGAAGGAAGAGACAGGAAGAAAGGAAGGAAAAGAAATGAAGAAAGAAAAGAGACAGGGAAGAAGAAAGGAAGGAAAATGAGGGGAAAGGAAGGAGAGACGAACGAAGGAAAGGAAAGAAGGAAGGGAAATGAAGAAGGCAGAGAGCAAGGAAGAAAGAGGAAGGAAAGGAAAGGGAAGAGAGGAAGGAAGGAAGGAAAGGAAAATGAAGAAAAGGCAGGGAGCAAGGAAGGAAGGGAAGGGAGGGAGGGAGAAAGACACAAGGGACAGAGGAAGGAATGAGAGAGGAAGGAAAGGAAGGAGACAAGGAAAGAAAGCAGAAGAAAGAAAGGGGAAGAAGGAAGGAAAGGAAGGAGAGAAAGGGAAAAGGAAGGAGAGAAAGGGAGAAAGGAAGGGAAGGAGGAAGGAAGAGAGGAAGGAAGGAAAAGAGGGAAAGAAAGAAGAAGGGAAGGAAAAGAAATGGAGAGGCAGTAAGGGAGGGAAAAGGAAGGAAAGGCAGGGGAGAAGGAAGGAAGGAGGTGGAAAGAGGCAGGGAGGAAGGAAGGAAGAAGGGAGAGAAAGGAAAGAAGCTGAATAAGGAAAGAAAGGAAAAAAGGGAAGGAGAAAGGAAGGGGAGACAGGCAGGAAGGAAGGAGAGAGGAAGGAAAGGAAAGAAGGAAAGAAAAGAAGGAAAGAAAAGAAAGGAAGGGAAAGGAAGGAGAGGCAGGCAGGAAGGAAGAAGAAAGGAAGGAAGGAAAGGAAAGAGGAAGGGAGGGGAATAAGGAAGGAAAGGAAAAGGGAAGAAGGAAGAGGCAGGGAGGAAGGAAAAGAAGAAGGGAGAGAGGAAGGAAAGAAGGAAGGGAAGAAGAGAGGAAGGAAGGAAAGAAAGAGAAAGAAAGACACGCTTTACAACCGTGTCATCTACCTTCCTGCGCAGAGTCCATTACGGTCCTAACTTGAGGACTACCTCCAGTCTGAAAACACTCTGATCCACGTTCTGAGTGTGTCTTCTGTGTGTGACGGAGGAAAAGAGAGAGGATAAAAGCAAAGGGACATTTTGTGCTTCTTTTCCCATCGTCCCCTTTTTTTTAATGCAAGTCAGTAGTGAAAAATTGGAATCGTGTTTTTTGTTTTTTTTGTCCTTTTTTTTTTTTTCAAAATCATTCTCATAGACCGTGGGAAGTATTTCTCTCTTCCCCCACTGCCACCCTGTCTGGGTGGCAGCATCTTTGCTTGCAAAGTCTTTCTTTGGAAACTCTTACATATCTAAAAAAAAATTATTATTTTTTTAACTTTTCACTCTTAGTAAACTTGGTTACTGGAGAGGGGGAAAAAAAAGATAGTTGGCCGTTTAATAAGGACAGAAGGAATTGATTATTTAGACCTCACACTTTCATAATCAGTTTCATAATCACAAAACTGATTAATATATACTAGCTGTACCCGGCCACGCATTGCTGTGGCTCAGTCTGGTAAAAGCGTGCGTTGCTTTTACGTCCAACAGATGGCGCTGTTTTTCAAAAAAAGCATGTTTTTACCTGTCACAGGTGTGACATCTATACAATAGTAGGTATACAAAAACACGCGCGCATTCGAATGCAACGTTGTGTCAAAATTTCAAAGCAGTCGGTGAAGAACTTTTGGAGATTTAAGATTTTGAACAAATGAACATTTACATTTTTATTTATATAGATAGATTATTAACTGTAAGCTTTATATTTTCCACCCTAGCTTGTAATAATTTTTAAACAGGACTGACAGGTTTAACTGCTACAGGTAGTCCTCAATTTATGACCACAATTGAGCCCAAAATTTTCCGTTGCTAAGCAACACAATTATTAAGTGAATTATGCCCCACTTTACAACCTGTTTTGCCGCAGTTGTTAAGTGAATCGGTGCAATTGTTCCGTTAGTCACAAGGTTGTTAAGTGAGTCCGGCTTCACCATTGACTTGTTAGCTTGGCAGGTCGCCAAAGGGGATCACGTGACCCAGGGGCTCTGTGAGCGTCGTAAGTAAGAGTTCCAAATTTTGATCGCGTGATGGCCCTAAATGTGAAAAAGGGTCAGAAGTCGCTTTTGTCTGTGCCGTTGTAACTTCAAACGGTCACTAAACAAACAGTTGTAAGTCAAGGATCAGCTGTATTTGAAACCAGCGTCGCAGTAGGTATATTAGAGAAGATGGCATTGCGATGGAAGCACTAATGGTTTTGTTTAATAGCGTAGCACGCATTAATTTACGTATTTATTTAGAAAACTTACAGTGCCACTCAATTCACTTAGGGCAGGGGTAGGCAGGCAACCTTGGCTCTTCTGTGACTCGTGGACTTCCAAGTCCCAGAATTCCTGAGCCAGCCAAGCTGAAGTCCACGAGTCACAAAAGAGCCAACGTTGCCTACCCCTGACTTAGGGCCTTACAGAAATAACACTCCAATGTGAAACCCAACAAATCCCTACCAACAACTTGGTGGGCTGCATATCTCCCTGGGGTCTCCTGATCCGTTGGGGAAACCATGTTTTCAGAGACTTTGAAAAGAATGTCAATGTGGGCAACAGTCTTATCTCTTCAGGGTTGATGTTCCACAGGGAGGGAGCCACCAGGGAGAAGGCCCTTCTTCTGTGTCCGATCAGATGGACCTCCTTAAGAGAGGGAGCCCATAACATCTCCTACCCCCCTGTTCTGATGGGTAGAGTGCATGTAACTGGGAAAAGATGGTCCTTCAAAGGACAGGGAGGGAGCCAACATGGAGAAGGCCCTTCTTGGTCCCACCAGATGGACCTTCTTAACAGAGGTGACCCATAACAGCTCCTGCCTCTCCACAGTGGTGGGTCCTGTGGAGGTAACTGGGAAAAGATGGTCCTTCAAAAAACGGAACCATCACAGAGAAGGAAGGCCCTTCCTCTTGGTCCCACCAGATGGACCTTCTTAACAGAGATAGCATCTGCATCTGGTGGGTTCTGGGGAGGTAACTGGGAAAAGATGGTCCTTCAAAGAACAGGGAGGAATCCACCACGGAAAAGGCCCTTCCTGGTCCCACCAGGTGAATGTCCATAAGAGAGGGGACCCATAACACCTGCCTCTCCACGGTGGTGGATTGAGTGGATATAACTGGGAAAAAGATGGTCCTTCAGGGAGGGAGCCACCACAGAAAGGGCCCTTCTTCTGGGTCCCACCAGATGGACTTCCTTAAGAGAGGGAACCAACCACTGGGGTGACATTCCTCCTCTCACACATGGGATTTATTCGTCACTTCGTGGCTTAACGGAAATCTTGGGTTTTCTTATCCGTGCTCGCTCATAAACATACCGTCAACCTTGCAACAGGCCAAAGCCATTCCGCTTGTTTTCGGCTGCTACAAGATAGGAAAGTTTCCTGTTAGACTAAACAGTTTTCTACCCTATGGGATCCAAGGTCATTTCTACTTCCCTCAGCTGTGGAGGATGATCCCCTAGTATTAGAAAGCCCACCTGGGTGTATTACTGGAAAACGTAGTTGATTGCACAGCCAATGGGAAGCTGAAGCCTGGGTGTTCTGCTTTAATTGGTCTCGTCTATGGGACCTTGACGCCCACTCCCTGCTTGCAGATAAAGGAGGGTAGGACTTCCAGGCCCTCCAACCGGCAGGGCAGATCCACGTGGAAGGTGGGTGGGCGTGCTTCATGAAGCTTGGCTGATCCTAGACGGACTGCTGTAGAGAACCGGGATCCAGCTTAGATTCTGAAATTTGTGGAGGTGAATATTTTGACTCTGGCAAGGATTGTGTGTAGAAGAACCTCATGCGTTCTGATTTTTGTATAACCATTTGCTCTGTTGACTTTTGTTGTTTTTATTATAGGCTATGTTATATTGTATTTTATGACATTGCATTATGACATGATATATTTACATTAGGTTATATATTACATTGTATTATAAGATAATATGAGTAATATAATATGTTATATTACATTACAATATTACATATATTTATATTATAGTGTATTATATTATATTATTATATTATATTATATTATATTATATTATATTATATTATATTATATTATATTATATTATATTATATTATTATATTATATTATATTATATTATATTATATTATATTATATTATATTAATTATATTAATTAACTATTATTATATTCTATATCATATTCTATATCACATCATTTAAGATTGGATTGCTTAAATGTACTGCTGGTCTTTACTTACCCTTTGGGGTTTTTAATTGTAGGAGGTGTACCGGATCCCAAAGAAGAGTCAAGTGGAAAAGGAGACCAGTGGTACGTATGCAAAGATATCACTTTTTCAAGCCTTCCAGACCAGTGCTTCTTAACTCTGGCAGCTTTAAGATGAACTTTGGGCGTTTAAGTTCACCCACCTCCCAGCTGCCAAGATGATGAAGCACTAAGTTATAAGCTCAGTGGAAGCTTCTTGTGGAAGAAGACGAGGAGAACGGGCCTCTGTGTGACTGACTGACTGAGATGGGTGGGGGTAGGTAGGTAGATAGGTTAGGTACATATGTTTGTATAGATAGACAGACAGACAGACAAATGTGTGTGGTTAGGTACATGCGTATGTATGTATGTATAGAGATGGATGGATGGATGGATGGATGGATGGATGGAAGGAAAGAAAGAAAGAAAGAAAGAAAGAAAGAAAGAAAGAAAGAAAGAAAGAAAGAAAGAAAGAAAGAAAGAAAGAAAGAAAGAAAGAAAGAAAAAGAAAGAAAGAAAGAAAGAAATTACATGAGAGGGAGGAGTGGAGAGGGAAATTAATGTTTCTAAACACTAACAATCCTTGTGTTTATTGGTATTTTGAACTGCCCACACAAGAAAAAAAAATGTGGTTTTATGAAAATTCATTTTATTTATTTTATTTATTTATTAAATTTGTTTGCCACCCATCTCCCCGCAAGGCAATTTTTCAGGTTGACCAGCTTGTTAGTTTTTCTTTCGTTTCTCCACCTCCTCTCCCAAGTCTGGTTAGATCTGGGCTTGTAGTAAGTGAAACGTCCCTCCTTTGCCCGCTTTCTTCGCAGAGCACGGGAGAGAGGCGGTGGGCCGAGACACCCCGGCCACCCCCAAAAACCAGAGCAGAGAACGTGACCCCGAAAGGCAGAGCAAAGAGAAGAAAAAACGGAGAGAGTCCTTGTCCCCCCCGTCGGCCTATGAGCGAGGCACCAAGCGACCGGATGACCGGCAAGTTGGGAATGGTTGAACCCCCACTTTTCCCTTAATGTTTTCGGGTAGTCCTCGGCTTACAACCGTTCATTCAGCGACAGAAATTGTGACGGCGCTGAACGAAGGGACTTGCAACCAGTGGTTAAAGTTACGACCGTTAGTTTAATAGGAGGGCCAACACTTGATCTTGATCATGTAGGCACCTCGCTTAATGACTGTCACGCCTAAGCGACTATAATGGGCAGCCTCGTTGCAGTCATTAAGCGAAGTACACGTGTGACAGCCTCATTCAAAGAATAGCCTCCTTTGCAGTCATAACTTGAGGACTATCTGTACTGCTGCATATACAAAAGGTTGAAGTTAAGGGGGGGAGAAGAGGGCTTTTTAATTCATTTTTTAAAATGTTTTTATTTTATACTGTCCATGCTTCAAGACAGCCGTCCTAAGGACAGCCGTCCTAAGAAAACATTTATAAAGATTTTTTAATGTTAAAAACAGCAGATTGGAAAAAAAGGAATAAAATTACTGGCACCTGACAGGAATCACTGCTCGTGCTGGGAAGAATAAAATTTTTACAATGCCTAAAATTCCACTTAACCGCTTGCAAAGACTGCGTGGATTTTAAAATATTAATGAGGGCAGGCCTGCAAAAGTCGACACAAGGATGGCCTCACAAAACGACTTTGTCATGACACCTCCTAAAATACAGACAGTCCTCAGCTTACAACCACAATTGAGCTCCAAATTTCTGTTGCTAGGTGAGACAGTTGTTAAGTGAATTTTGACCCATTTTACGAACTTTCTTGCCATAGTTGCTAAGCAAATGACTGTGGTTGTTAAGTGAATCTGGCTTCCCCCATTGACTTTGCTTGTCAGAAGGTCGCAAAAGGGGATCTTTTGAAAAATCACACTGTGACCGTCGTAAATATGAGTCAGTTGCCAAGTGGCTGAATTTGGATCACGTGACCCCAAGGATGCTGCGATGGCCGTAAGTGTGAAAAAAACGGTCATAAGTCACTTTTTTCAATGCCGTTGTGAGTTCCAGCAGTCACTAAACAAACTGTTGTAAGTGGAGGACTACCTGTATTACGAGTCTTGGAGTCCAAACTGTTCGAAACTTTTTGACAAGGCACTTTGGTCTTGTGGATACACTGCTGGCTAGGTGCCTGTGAGTTCTAGTCCCGCCTGAGATTCGTCGCACGCGGCCATCTCGCACCGGGACACTCAATCCCGTTTTCTCTCTCTCCCCCCCCCCCCCCCCCCCCC